ATCGGAAACTGAAAAACAAGTTTCACCATCAAGACGTGCTCTTTGGCCCGTTTTTCGTATTTTCATTATTTCCTAAACTACATATCTATAGGAGAACTAAAAAAAAAAATGTAAAAAAAATATTATTCAAATTAATAGAGAAAATGGTGGGGCGTAGACTCGATGTCGTGCTCCGAGAGCATAAACCTGCGGGAGTTATGCAAATTGTGTTGCCGGCTTAGCAGGGAAAGTAATCGGTTTCCGTTCATTCCAAGAGACACAGGTGGAATTACGCGGTTTGGTGAGCTTCGGTTGGGCTTCTGAGTAGCCGAAATTAATAAATACAGAATTGTGGGCGAAACTGGAACACAGGATTCTGATGATTCGGTTTCTTCTTTACCCCAAGTAATAATCCCGGAATATACCGGATGTTTTAATATATAGGATAATTTACAGTGTAAACTTCATCCGAAAAGAAACAAGTATTACTAATTCCTAAATGAAAATTTGAAGTGGTGCATTATCAAACTCAAGATGTATACATTTTTCTAATTATGATTTGTTTGGAATTTGGGAAAACTTACATCTGTGGAGACATATGTTGAAGAATGGCTGAGGCCCAGCGACGGTAGCAAGATGCTCGATGTTCCTCTAGTCTGGCAGGTGGATNTACTTGGGGTAAAGAAGAAACCGAATCATCAGAATCCTGTGTTCCAGTTTCGCCCACAATTCTGTACTTATTAATTTCGGCTACTCAGAAGCCCAACCGAAGCTCACCAAACCGCGTAATTCCACCTGTGTCTCTTGGAATGAACGGAAACCGATTACTTTCCCTGCTAAGCCGGCAACACAATTTGCATAACTCCCGCAGGTTTATGCTCTCGGAGCACGACATCGAGTCTACGCCCCACCATTTTCTCTATTAATTTGAATAATATTTTGACAACGAGCGCTCACATGAATTCCTTATTGCGGGATAATGGATGATGAGCACAAGACTGACACAAAGCGACAGGATGAAATCCGGAAATCGCCACAAGCCAGGAAAGAACCGAATCTTAAGAGAGAGCTACTTGGCCGCAGATGCAACACGGAGGCCGCACACGATAGGTGAAAACCGTCAGGTTGGGACTTTTGAACTTTTGAAAGTGGGATTCTTTTAATCGCTCTTCGTACGTGTACAAATATTGGAAGCGGCGCTCTCATTGTACAAGAGAAGGTGGTGTCTTTTTTACCAAGATTTTTGCATTATACTTTATGCGGAAGTGATCTTCCGATCAAGTTTGAATGTTGATAAAAATTGGGTGAAATTAAGACCCCCTCCGGGGGTGGTGTGGGAGGGTTTAAAATGACAGAATTCAAAACAAATAACTTTTGAAAAAGGGATTCTTTTAATCGCTCTTCGTACGTGTACAAATATTGGAAGCGGCGCTCTCATTGCACAAAAGAAGGTGGTGTTGCTTTTATACCAAGATTTTTGCATTATACTTATGCGAAAGTGATCTTCCGATCAATTTTGAATGTTGAAAAAAATTGGGTGAAATAAAGACTCCCTCCCGNGGGGGGGGGGGGGGGGGGGAGTAGTTTAAGCTAAAAATTTCATGTACGACCTCCCTGATTAACGGTGTCCGGACTTTTCGGCGTGGGAGTGTTGGGCGCAAGTTCTACAGGGTTATTCAAAAGTCACGAACTATTGGTCATAACTTTAGTTCTAATTATGATATCGATTTGCGGTTGAAGACGTTTTTCCTCATATCGAGGGGAAAACTCGTTTAGGTACTTTCTAGTTTTTGATCCTCTCGGGGGGAGGGGGGCAACTCAAAAATTTCAAATGGCCATCCCCCTCATGGCCAGTGGTGCGTGACTTTTAAGTAACCCTATATACTTTTTAGAATACAAGAAGGGACTGCTTACCTTATTTTCCACGTGATGCGAAAATTAATGTTCTGTTTTTATCTTTGGGACCGCTATCATAATGTAAAGAAGGTTGACCGCCCAGCGTTTCTCTCATTAATTCGTCGGGGATTACCAAAGATTTTAGAGAAGAAGGATGGGGGGGGGCGCTTCCGCGCTATTTCTTTGCTTACACACAGAGCGTTTCAACGTCTCAATTTTGGACACTTCGGCTGACACGCCAGGAGTAATATTGTCACTTACACTCGGAACAGCACTACGTAAAGTCATTTGATTTATTTTATACCTGAGACAACTGCTTGTATGTTCTCTCATTGGATTGTGGTAATTTAACTGCCTCACGATTTCACCATCTTTCATGTGCAAACTAGTATTACATTTGACGACCTTATTTTTTTTTTTTTTTCGATACACCTAGATACACTTTTTTCCTCTATTCCTCGCCTCTCAAAACAATACAAAAACCCTTTCTCAGCTAATAAGTCTCTCTCTTACTCTTGAAACTCCATGGTTTAGATCAAGTAATATCAATATCACGGGAAACAGAGCACAGAAACAAAATAAACAAAAAATTACATCAACTACTGTGCGGTATCACAACATCACATACAGCTCAGCATGACGATATGTCTCTAACACGTTTCAACTTTGACTGATCATCTGTCACAAACACGTATGTGAACATTCAATCGCTCGTCCCTAATCAGAAACGAGTTCCCTATTAAGATCACTGATCAGTGCGATTAGTTCCTAGGTGCCAGATTTACTGTCTATTGAAGTACACTAAAAAGTCCGTGCGCCGAAAAGTCCCTCGCCGAAAACTACCCGCGCCGAAAAGTCCGGGAACCCTGATTGACCTGGTCCAGTGTGCGTCCAGAGAGGGGACGATATGAGCGGGCAGTTAAATTCTTTCGGGTCGCTCACCGAAACGGTCGGCCAGCTTCAATCAGATGATTGGGTAGTATGAGAGAAATAAATCTAAAAGTTGGGAGAATATCATCAAAGTGAGTCGTTGAAAGTTTCTCTATTATGTGCATAGTGAACCCCCGTCACAGCGACCTTCGGGAATCTCATTTGGATCTGGACGAGAGCGACCCTGAGAGGTCTCCTGTTTCAGCCACTCGCTCACGCTTCAGCAAGTCTAGTTGTTGTTCCTTTTCAAATCGTGTCAGTCGACAAAGGCAATTTGCCATTGCTTTTAACAGTATGAAATCATTCTTATAAAGAAATTCTTGGGCTGATTATACAATCAACCAACTTGCGTATGCGGGAAATGTGACATATCGACGGTGAAACTACCAAACCACGTATCTCGGTTTGCGACGTCGCAGACTTCCTGTCATACTTTATTTTTTAAATGAAAAACTACTTAACATCCAGTCTTGAAAATTTTTGTGATTTTTCCTCTTCGTGCGGAGAAAATTCCGTGAAAATTTCAAGGAATGATATTGATTTGGTCTTCTTCAAAAAAATAAAATGTGAGCGTAGATTTTTAAACACCGCAAACGAGATACGTGGTTTGGTAGTTTCACCGTCGATATACAACCTGCCGTTTCTATAACAGGTTTTTTATGGGATTCTTATAAAGTACTTCTATTCTATCTTCAGAGACCACACCAAGAACGAAATTCTCCGATTCCTGTGGAATTTTTGTATACGATAGATAATTATAAATCATTCGTACAGGTTTTAAAAAGTTTACGGGGAGGACTCCAGCCATGACAAGAGGAGACACATTTTTTGGGGGAAAATCTTATGAATTTATACAGAGTTATTCAAAAGTTACGCGCTACTGGCCATAACTGAGGACACCGCACCAAGAACAACCTATAGGCGTATAGGTCGTTATTACGCCAATCTGCTTTTCGGATTCTACGTACCCTGTACTATGCTGTGGTAGCGATAGAATATAGATAGGTAACGTCTCGAGGTCGAAAAACCTTTTTTTTCCGAGGCAAGTCAGGCCTCTGGATCGACGGGTGCAAGAACGACCTATACGCGCGGCCTTATCATTCTCGGTTAGCGGGCATCGGCGCGGCGCGGCGATAGTGATGGCTCGATTTTTTGATCTCATTTTATAAAGATTTGTTTTTATTTCAGAAAAACGAGCTATTGAAATAATTTATTCTCCTCTCAAACTATCCTTTCCTCCAAAAATGTATACTTCGCATTTTGCCACCAAAATGACTGTTGGGCGTAATACGGGCCTACAATTTGCTAGTTACCCCTCTCTATACTCACCATCGATATTCTTTTATTTTGCGTTAATCATGCGTGATTAAAATGATTTATACTGCATATTGCCACCAAAATGACTGTTGGACGTAATAACGACCTATGAACCGCTTTTTTAAATTAAATATATTAGAGCGTAAACCCAAAATGTATCGCAAAATTTACCCGGCATCCTTCAGTAGAAGGGTTAGGTCACCCAAAAACACCAAAACAGGGTACCTGCATTGGAAAGTCTGCGCAGTACATCAAAAACAAAACTTGGAATGCGTTTTGCTCAAAACGCGGTTTCCAGTTATAAGGTTGTTCTTGGTGCAATGTCCTCAACTTTAAGTTCTAGTCATTATACCCACTTGCGGTTTAAGACGTTTTTCCTCTTATCGAGGGGAAACTTTTTTAAGTACTTTCCAGTGTTTGATCCCCTCGGGGGAGGAGGGCGGGGGGCAACTCGAAAATTTCAAATGGCCACCCCCCTCATGGCCGGTGGTGCGTGACTTTTGAATAACCCTGTATGTCGTTCTTGACGTTCAAAGTTACTTTTTACATGGCCAGTCAACCTAATCCTATATTGAACCTGGGATTGAGACGTTCTTATTGAAATTTAGCCAGTGCGTCCGGATGCAGGTTTTTTTTTTCTTTCTTTTTTTTTTTTTTTTTTTTTTTTTTTTTTTTTTTTTTTTTNTTTTTTTTTTTTTTTTTTGACGGGTTTGGACTTCATAAAGTCTTCACTGAAGAGGATTTTTGGGGGTTGATTATGCTGAAATTTTTCCCGGGTCCGTAGTATTTAGAATTTCGTTTTCTAATCACCACGTCAAGAATGGTGTCTTCAAATTATCCATGTTTCTGCCAAATTAATGTGTGATCAATTTTTGCAGGATGTCGCAAAGTAAACGCTGGTCGGGTACCTCGCACCATTAACACACACCTACCATCTTCCATAATAACTCATCTCCAAAGTAGATCTTCCATTGAGAACGGTGAGCGAATTTATGTACACTTTCTTTCAAAGAACCTGTTATGGAACTTGTTTTTCACTTCTTGTTCTGAGGGCCTAACAAAGTTAATTCGACTAAAATTCTCGGTGCATCTTATTCTACGCTCGACGACGTCATTGAGTGTATCTTTTGAGTCAAGTACTTCGGTTTCCACATCCCGAAGGCTTCGGTTCTCACCTCCGAAAGATTTCGGTTCTCTTATTCGAAAGACTTCGGTTCTGAAGTACTCCAGATGTAAGAACTGAAGTTTCAGACGTGTGGTCCGAACCTCGACAGGAACGCCGGTGATAAGAACGCGTTCGCGACGGGTGCACCCACGAGTTTTTTAAAAGTGTTTTGTAGTAAATTTTAGTAAATTTTAACAATATAAGATGTGACTGTTAGTGTTTACCGACGTCGAAGTCGAAGTGACCTGATGATGATGATTAACATCAAAATATTTATCGTCTGAAAACCGGATAAAAAGTGATCGGGAGGAAGGTAATTTCATCTAGAGTCCCTTTATACCCAGAGTAACGACAACTCGATTATCAGCTGACTGGCAGCCGACCTTGGCTGGCCATGGAGGCCGAAACTAGTGCACTCAAACGAACGATATTGAGGGATAAGGATCAGGAATCCTGCGATGTCTGTCACACAAAAACAACAACATCAACAAATTGATCAATTAAAAAGAAAATGAGATTGGTTTGTGAATAATTTCTCATTCTATTTTCATTTTGGACCGATGGAAATAACAATTTACTCTCGATAAACCACAATTAGGTAAGATTCTCATTATTCTTGTTCACATTCGAGGTACCGCCATCTTGGTGCACTAGTTTCGGCCTCCATGAGCGAGAACCAATCAGAATTGGATTTTTTTTTAGGCCACTTTCAGCCCAATCCTGGCCCAACCAAAAGTGAGTTGTCGTAACTCTGGGTATGAAGGGACTCTAATTTCATCAACGTAATGCAGCCCGATAAAAATAAGTTCAACTTTAAATTAGACCTGAAGTATGTTCAGATGCTCAATCCGAAAACTTCAGAGATCCATGCGACCCAAACTCCGGGTCCCACACTGAGAAAAAACTATGGCTTATAAACCTATTAGAGGTAAATATGGAACACTACTAATAGTAGTACCTCTACATATAATAATAGCACATATACCTTAGTTATGGTACGTGTACCTTAATTAGGTACAGAGACCTTAGTATGGTTCACAGACCGAGAATCATTAGTTTATTTACGACTATTATAGGTGTTCCATATTTACCTCTAATAGGTTTATAAACCATAGTTTTTTCTCCGTGCACGCACGAGGTTTTTCTCTCCGTGTACAAACCATCAAGAACGTTGGGACTTGGTCGAGGGAAGAGTTTCTGGCTCGGACACGGTTGAAAGTAAATTTGGCAAAGGGTGAATCCGGTGGCGGCTGTCACGGTACTCCTCGCCCGTCCACGGAATGTCCCACGTGGAATTCTTCCGCTCGTTTTTCCTTTTCGCCGCCCGCGCACCCAACCCCCCGGGGCCCCGGCCCTCTTCCCCGCGAATCCTCGCCTCATATTTTATTCAACCCCATTCATTCACGGAATTAATTGCTTCCTTTTATTTGTTCTATCACCATCTCCCCGCGCTCGTCCGAAGGAATCCGCCTTCGAAAACTCAACCTGCTGGCGAAATTTTAACACCACCCCGCCCGTCCTTCCGCAGGCACACGCCACACAGGGGATCGAGTTAATGCGCGAGAGGTCGGGCAAGATTTGAGAACACATCTTTAGGCCTTTTTCTCCACACTGGAAAAAAAACACATTGGATCTAGAGTCCAGACTCTTAAAAACATCGACAAGAAAAAATACTCCTGATTTAATCAGATTTAAGCTTGAATCAAGAACCAAGCCTTTTAATTTGAGCGGATTTCCTTTTGAGTTAAGCTTAAATCTGATTGAATCAAGAGTACTTTTTCTTGTTAATGTTTTCAAGAGGCTGGACTCCAGATCCAATGTGTTTTTTTCCAGTGCACGGGACGTTTCATGGGATTCGTCCCAGGGAAAAATATCACTTGCGAAGTTGGGAAAAGTATTGAGTTTGTCAATACTAATCATAGTGCCAACTAAGAGTCCTCGTGGAGTCCCAGAAATGCGACGTTAACGAAGAAGATTAAATTGTGTCGTGTTTTTTACTAGGAAAAAAGCCCAGAAGTTTCATTCCTGCAATTCGAACGTGGGAAAAATCCCATGAAACGTCCCGTGAAGGCAAGGCGTAACTCCATTTATAAAAAACTTTGAGGTTCTGTAAATTGTTCCTCTGGTTACTTCGTAAAATTTTCCTCTAGAGGCGGCACCCCTTATTACTTAAAATGTGACTGATTAAACATCAAAATTGCAGTTTTAGTCAACAATTTCATGTCCGACCTCTCGAATTGACTCAATCCACTGTGCGGCACGGAAAAAAGGGACTCGCGGTTGTCTTTATCTGTCATCGCGAACCCACGGTTTTTCTGCCGTGCTAAGCAAGAACGTCGTTCGAGCCATCAGCTGTTGTCAACTTTTCTTCGACAAATCACAAGTTTCCAAGAAAATTCGTGAGCATCTCTCCTCCGATCTTTCAGAGGATTTTGTTCGCAATTTGATCCTAAAAGTCTGCAAATTCCAATGCAAATTATTCACAATTTTCTTCGAAATTTAATATTTGTTGAGTGGAGATCTGGCAACATTCGAAAGCGCATACGGCGTTTTTATTTAGCCCGGTAGAATCGCTCCCGAGCGAAGAGAAAAGCGGCTTTTAAGCGTCTGCTCCTCGGCGGTAGCGGAGGAAATGACGGGTATTTTAATTCTAATTTATCGCGCTCGTTTCACGGACGAGGAGGCAGCCCGCCTCAACAAGTTGTTTTGCCGGGCACCGCAAGCGTGTGGCCGTGGGGTGGCGCCGAGTTCCCCCCTCATTCCAGCCACCTTTAGATTTATTTTTTCAATGTACGTCTTCCTTTCCAGATACGACTCGGACCTTTACCCCTGTTTTCATAACGAATTTTGTGGTCTTTAACCCAGCAATTATTTTTTCCAACTTACGCGGGGTTGTCTTTCCGACTCGAAAATGCGCGTTCGTCGGTTTACAGCTCTTATACGTAACGCTTTTGTGCATGCGCTTGAACGCACGTTTAGTATTCAGCTCACAGCATTGATCACGCTGTGAATCATGACGGCTGCAATGAGCTTTTTTTCTAGGCAAAGGATGAATTCAAGCTCCTGGCTCCTGATGGGGTGTGCTCTTGTTTATGGGTTGTGATTTGTGACTCGCGATTTGTAATGAAGGTAGCGCAAAATGTGACGATTTTACTCATTTCGGTCAGCCAAGAGTACATAAATTCTTCCGTGTCGATATGGGTTGTGGTTGGTAACTCATCAACTCGCGATTTGTAATGAAGGTAGCGTAAAATATGGCGATTTTACTCATGGTGGTAAGCCAAGAGTACATCCATTCTTCCGTGTAGCAGCTTACAAGAGAAAATTGTCATATCCGTTTCCGTTCAATGAAGACCAAGTGATTTTAAGGAAAACAGTCAACATTCATTAGATGTTCCGTAATTAAAACTGATGTTTTATTCTTGAAAGAAACTGTACAACACCGGATTTTGCAATTTTTTTGTGTTGCGGAAAAGCTAATTTTCGCGATCGAATTTTGTTCATCAGACGAATTGATGCATGCCGAGTGATGCCGATGATCGGTGAAAGTAGGAGCCAATCGAAGTTCAGATTTTTTTGAAAGAAATTAAGAAGATATTACGAAAATAAAACGCGGCAAATTGCAAACACAGCAGACTTGAAATGACAAAAAACAACAACAGAAAGAATAGACGAAACAAAAATGCTGGTGAAAAATGAAGTTTCTGACATGTATCGCACCAATTCACAAATCGCATTCAAGTCTCGAGGTGAATTCGAAATTTCAAATTGATGGATTTCCACGGTCTCCGGTGAGATCAACGAAGAAGTCTAATATCATTTTAAAAAATTGCACAATCGTCGAATATCATTCAACGGTGAATGATATTCGATCGCGGAAATTCGCTTACTATTTGCTGAAATCGGAGATTCAACGTCCGTCTGGATTTCAACTCATATTGAGTGGCCCGAAAGGAGAAGAGAGATTCTATTGATATCTCGACTACTCACTCGTATCAATGGAAATCCTCAAGATTTACGAAGAAGCCTCCGCTCGTCATTCTCAGCGGGGGAACTTTACCCGAAGCGGGACAGTAACCCGGGGTGAGAGAGAAACAAGAGTCCTTTTTCCTCTCCTTTTTTCGAAAGGACGGCTCTAAGGTGCGGCGACGCACAGCGGATCGAGTCAATGAAACACGTCGGACAAGGAATTTTTGACTTAAACTGCAAATTTCCACGTATATTCCGTCAAATTTTAAATTTTGAGGGGTGCTTTCTTCAGTTAATTTCACGAAAAAACCAGTGGGGCCATTTTCAAGACCTCGATATCTTGTGTTAACGGAGTTATATGTGTGGATCGAGTCATTGAAACACGTCGGACAAGAAATTGTTGACTAAAACTGCACATTTCCAAGTTTATTCCGTGAAATTTTAAATTTTGAGGGGTGCTTCTTGAAGTTAATTTCACGAGAAAACCAACGGGGCCATTCACAAGACCTCGATATCTTGTGTTAACGGAGTTATATGTATGGATCGAGTCATTGAAACACGTCGGACAAGAAATTGTTGACTGAAACTGCACATTTCCAAGTTTATTCCGTAAAACTTTAAATTTTGAGGGGTGCTTCTTGAAGTTAATTTCACGAGAAAACCAATGGGGCCATTCACAAGACCTGGACATCTTGTGATAACGGAGTTGGAAGCTTTTAAAGTTTCTGAATTTTATCCGACTTTTCCCATCGATTCGATCGAATGTGCGACGGTGATTGAAAAGTAAGCTCTAAACGATGGAGGGACTCGGCGTGCCAATCAAACGTCAGCCCGGGTATCAGTCGC